AAGTTTTATGAAGTGTACTTCCAATCACTGGACGTTTACGAATTAAAGTACAGGTGTCTTTGAGGTGACATTCAAATGACTTAGGAATTTTTAATACCTCTGGACATCCTCTTAAACACGTATTTACGCTTAGTCCCAACACAAACAATGGGTTCGGTGGAGTTTTGTTCTCTGAGCTGGATGATTTAGTCGTGGAGCTTTCATCGTTCTTCTGAACGACATCATCAGCACAAACTTCAGATAGAAGTGAAGTGTTTGAATTTCTCCATATGTGTCTCAAAGCTTGTTCTGTGCACCTCGACGTTGATTGGTTCTTATTGACCTTAAATTTGTCGTTGTTTACTTCTTTGTTTTGGTTGTGTCTCCCATTGTTTTGATTTTTGTTCGTATGTTTGTGCATGCTTTTTCTGATTGGTTGATAAATTGGATTGATTTCAATATGCTTAATTAAAATAACCCATAGTGTCATTGAATAAGAAAAAGAGAATTCAGCGAAGAAAATTTTCTTTTCGACGAAATCATTTACTTAAGCTGTACATTCGTATATATAGTTAGATATGGAAAATGTATGTCTATAGAAGGATAGAATGGATTGTATCACACAAAAATGGATTCGACAATAAATAACAAATGAGGTTAACGTAAGGAGAACAAAATTTAAGGGTCAGATAATAGTCCAATTGACAGATATGAAGAAAAACGTCAAAACAACAAAGGTCATAATAATAGAGTGAATGATAAGGACAAAATTTCGCTTTGGGCCACTTCAATGTGTATCTATAAATTTACTTGCTCATGTGGGGCATGTTACATAGGCCGCACAAAGCGATCATTATCCAAACGCATCTCGGAACATTATCCGGCTTGGCTTTTGAAAGGGGAGCGAAAAACAATCACGAGTTCCATACAGGAGCACTTAATCAACTGTGAACATATCGCTCCAAAAGACTCTTCGTTTAAAATAGTTTACAGAGTCAAAGGAACTGGATCGAAGGGGGTTCGAATCAATATTTTATGCACCGCAGAGGCATTGGCAATCCACAAACTAAAGCCTGAACTTTGCGTGCAGAAACGATTTGTCCAACCTCTTATCCTTCCCTGGCCCTAATTCCCTTTATGGGTATGTTTCTAGGTGTTTTTTTTCTCTTTTTTTCTTTTTCAATGCACTTTTATCATTACTATTTTGCACTTTAAACTCTAATCATTTATTATTATTACCTTTTACAAGTTTTCTTGATTATCATTCACTCTATTATTATGACCTTTGTTGTTTTGACGTTTTTCTTCATATCTGTCAATTGGACTATTATCTGACCCTTAAATTTTGTTCTCCTTACGTTAACCTCATTTGTTATTTATTGTCGAATCCATTTTTGTGTGATACAATCCATTCTATCCTTCTATAGACATACATTTTCCATATCTAACTATATATACGAATGTACAGCTTAAGTAAATGATTTCGTCGAAAAGAAAATTTTCTTCGCTGAATTCTCTTTTTCTTATTCAATATGCTTGTTGATCGCTGATTGACCTGAGTGCCAGGCTTCTAAAAATTCTCTGGTGTTTTTGGAGTTTCTTCTGTCTAAGATTTCCACATTTTTCCAGTCGAATGAGTGTCCGCATTTGTCCACGTGTATTGAGATAAGTGAAGAGATATCATGCCGTTTGACTGCTAATTGATGTTCATGTAGGCGAAGGTGAAGGGGGCGTCCACTTTGTCCGATATAGTGTTTTTCGCAGTTGGCACAATTTATCTTGTAGATGATGTTTGATTTGTTTGCCTTTGTTATTTCATCTTTTGGTTTGCATAAGATTGATTGTAGTGATTTTGTCGGTTTGTGTGTCACACCTATTCCGAAGGTTTTCAGCAGTCTCGTCGCGGTTTCTGATATTCCTTGTATATATGGTAGGGTGATCCTTTTGTTCATTTTTGTGCTTGACTTGAGTTCTAATGCTGCGTGCCGTTGGTATTTTTTGATGAAGTTGATGGAGTAGCCGTTCTTCTGGAATACATCTTTTAGGTATTTCTCTTCATTTCTTCGTGCTGCCAGTGTGCCACTGGCATCTTACTATGATTTAACAGTTTCTTTTTCTTTTTCTCGTTTTATCGATAATATACCTAGGTTCCTGCCTGGAGCTTCGGTGATCCCCCTCCACTACATACGGAGGCCCGTTGAACAGTGCTTCTTATATTCCGTCCAAAAAAATTTGATTCATCTGAGCGTGTGGGAATGAAATTAATGAAGTGTCTCTCTAAACTATCTTACGATGAGCGCATAAAACGCCTAAACCTTTCCTCTTGTCGTATCGTAGTACGTAAAGTAACCTTATCCCGGTATTTTGCGTTTTTGATTGTGATTCGGGTGTTTATGTGTGTTATCTTTTCGCTCTCTCCAGCACTAATAATCTCGGAGGTCATAGCAAGAAGGTTCACAAGCCGCGATCTTATAAACTAAAGGTAGGGTTCCGTTTTTCGTATCGAGTAGTTAATGACTGAGACGCCTTATCCGAACATGTGGTATCAGCCACAGCAGTGAATATTTTCAAGGAGAAACTGGATCTTTACTGGAAGATAATCTGTCAGGATTAACACTGGCTTACCCACCCAGGAGTTGCGCAAATCAGTTTTTGCGTTTCTTTTCGTGTTTTATGGCACGGGCACTGGGGCAAGCTGGGGGTTTTCGCGCACATGTTACATATTGTCGTGGATTTTTGTGTCGTTATTTAACAGCCTTTTTTCCATCACACATCAATTTTCGTAATGTTTGTGCTCACCAGTGAAGAGTTTAGCTTTCATAGCTTTGACATCAGCAGCGGTGACCTGTTTTGCAGTTCTCTCCTAACTACCTTCTATAACTTCATCTATTGACTGAGAGCGCAATATTACTGGCTTCAAGTTTTATTTTTCTTTCGATGATAATCTTCTACTCCACGGACCACAAACCAACCATGAACTACTACAAGGATGGTTGTGAGACATGTTGTAAGATTTTATGACGTATTCTTGACTTTTCAATATTATACGAAACATAGATTGACATTTTGAAAACTTAGACCTTAGATGTCACAGATTAGTTAAAGTCCTCACGGTTTTTTATTCACTGTCAAACCTGCTGACTTAGGTTTACGACCTAACGTGCAATAAAACACCACAAACAAGTACTTATATCTCATATCCTTCAACAATTTACTTTCTGTGTGAGCATAATGCGTATGGTATTCTGAGAAAGCACAGAATTATTCTTCCATACTTTATGGAAATCCTTTAGCGAACTACCAAATACAATCCAGCTTCCGAATCGCTTGTTCGACATTATATGTTGAAACGCCTCGTTTAAGTCCGCTGAAATTTCACTTGAACATGATGCACTACAGACAACAAGCATTATTTATGCAAAAAAGTTATTCCTTGAAAAAAACTAACTGAAAGAAGTACAACAAATATTTAGGACTTAACGTTGAGTTGACATTTAAGCTTAACTTCTTTGATTAACAGCGACTCACAAAAACTCTGCGTATCTATAACTTTTAACGTTATTTCATCTTTCTCACGTTGTTTTCTAGACCTTATTAACAAATTATAAAAAAGTGTTGACGGTTACTACAGCAGTTGGGATCACAGATCAAGTAACGAACCAACAACACAGCTTACGTGTACACTACAAAACAGAGAACGCTGAATCAATGCTCTTAGCAGTTATTTTGTGCTTTTTCAAACATCAAAAGATGACCGCCTCTAGTCAGGCCGTTCAAGGTCGTTCAAACGAAACGGCGGGCAGATTTGAAGGAGTCTGCCTTTTTTCCTTTGTCGTGTTTTATTCATATACAATGAGCATTTTTCTTTGAGATAATTTTATTCACTCTCCTGCATTCGTACTTATTTGACCGTTCGAATAACACTTTTATGGGTTATCAAGCAAGTCGGTAGTCGTTAAAGTCCACATATTCATGGGATAAATTTATAGATATATATTGCTAGGGATGGTTTTAACGTTCCGCACAATTTCTTTTTAAAATACCTCATAAATAACACTGAAAGATTTGACCTTTAGGCTTTTTTACCAGCTTTTACCACAGAATATTCGTTGGTGTATATATGACGTTCTGGGATATCCCAGAACCCATACTAGTTCTGACCGATATTGAAAAATACCTGAGCTCGTTTCATATGCACGCTTTTCACTAAGCGATTTTTTGAACGTTCACGTTATTTTGATGACATTAATTTAGTCTGATGAACATTTTGCGTAGGTGTAGTGATGGACACAACTAAATATGACTTGGCATCCAAACACTAAATTCACTTTTCTTTAATATATCGCTCAATGGGAGCTGTATATTTGCTCCTACTTGAACCTATACATACATGTTTGTATCAGTCAGTGCGTGTATGCACATATGCGTTTACATGAGCTTAAAAATATACACATGAACCAGCATGTCCATCTACGACTCTTACTGTTTTTCTAATCATATTCCTGTTTAATAGTACGTATTTGATTGTCCATCAATCTACTGGTGCAATGTGTACTTCGTGTCATTACAGTGTATCATCTGGAAATCATGTAACCAATCTAGTTTGCAAAATTCATATTGATAAACGAATATGTGCTGTCATTGTTTTCAACCATGCTGTTACATTCTTTGGTTAGGTTAGTCGAACTAGGGGTAAGTGTAGTTAGATAGAGATATTTTCCATTTCCCATGGTATTTCTATCACTTCGTTTCACGGTTTTCCTTCTCTTACAGCACCCAGTAAGTCAAGGTACTTCTCATTCAGCCAGTAAATTTCACGCTTGATCCTTGCTCCGTGTACTGCTTAAATAGCTTAATAGTACAATGAATCCATACAGTGTATTCCAAGGGAAAGCACATGAGCCTGTGTTTGATAAATGAGACATTTTCGACTAAATGTCCTGATACATGCTAGTTTTTTATGTTTGCATTATTTTGCAATATTTTTTTCAGCTTTAGTTCATAGAAATTCATGTAAATAAATGAGAGCTAGCGCTAATGCCTATACTACCGCACCGTCTAATCCACCATCCATTCATCATGAACCAAACTCCAGTGTCTTCAGAAACTCTATAGAACATTCACAAAGCCGTACTTCTAGTAACAGCATAGTTAACACTATTTCATCATTATCAAAAGGTGAGGTTTGGTTATATTGCTTGATTTATAACTTGTTTTCTAGATAGACCTAGTAATGAGGCAGGACCTATGGAATCATATGATGGTCTTAACCTGCAGAACCGTTTGGAAAATTTTAAACATTGGAGTGTAACAACATTCAAATGTACAAAACAAATGATTGAAGAAAAACTTGGAACCGCAAGTGTAACTTGTGATCAAGAATTAGAGGATCGAATTTCAATGTTTAGGTTAGTTTGCAAAAGTGTTTAGCGGGTGATATTCAGTTATTTAATTTACAAAAAAGCATACCACATTAATAAATTAAAATTTCTAATTTTCATACATATTTTTTTAAAGTAAATTCTAGCAGCCCTATTAACTAAACGACACCAAATTACAATGCGACGCTTTCCCGCAGTGCTTATTTCTATTTATAAAGGATATTCACTCAAACTGCTGAAAGGATGAATATAAAATAATGAGAGCGACTTTTTAGATCATATTGTTTTTATTGTGTTTTATGGTTTAGATTTTCAAAATGAGACACCATCACATTACATGGCTCATAATTAGTCACAATGGAGTAGGTGTATACACACTTTGTCTTCCCTTTAACCGTGAGATCAAAATTACTTTATACCTTTCTTTCTCCTTGTATCATATCCTTATATGAAATTGTTTTTGCTTCTACTACCGTTGTAGTAACTGCTTCTATGAACTTGGTGTTGATCTTGTTGTGTTAATGAGGTATGGAAACTTGGGGCGTTGCATATATGTAGCTGACCGACTGACTGACTTGAGTACTACTTCCTCATGTGCTTTCGAAAGATCTGACTTCCTGTTTTCAAATTATTGATCATTTTCGAACTAACATTATTCCTGTTAAAATGTATTTGAAAGGATTTTACTCTTAACAATAAGATTAAACGCTGTTGTAAATGTAGTCTGAACAAAGGTATTAGCGTTTTTCGTGGTGTTTTGAATCTGTTATTCATTGACTGGAAATGCCAATGACAAAAGTATTAGCGTAAACATACTTTTTATGAGAACATAGTCTATTCTGAAGGTAAAATTTTAGAATTCAAGGTAGGAACCAGTCTTACAAATTCATTCAGGCTCATCAGATAAATATATTACTTCTGACCGCTTTTGAACATACTGCATTGAATATGAAAGCATTTAGGCTAACGTGTGTTTAAAATAAAACTTAGTTACTTTTAACAAAGGACGAATCATGTATTAACTTGTTTTAGTGACTTTATTGTTTTTTTTCAGCTGGTGCACGTCATTTCTGACTTTGATAGGAAATAAAGTGTAAAATATTTACCGTATAGAAACTATATCATACTTAAATGATTTCATAAGTGAAATCACATGTACCTCCTTTAATCTGGCTTTATTAAAATGACATCTAACAGAACAGTGTTCAGGTGCGTAAAAAAATATTGTCTAGCAGAAATCAAAGTTGTTTACGTAAAGTATAAGTGAGTTTCACAGTGTTGTCTTGTGACATCGATGAGGTAGCTGGGCCAATAAGAGGTGCTTAGAGAATATTTTTGTCTCATCCTCCCACACATACACAATATCAACTTACCAACATATTCAACAACTAACAATTGTGCCGAAACTACTGACCTGTTCTTTCATCTTTCTATGTTGATATGGTGTTGGAACTTGGGAGGGTATATATGTCCCAGATTATACGTTGCATATGACTGACTATTATGGAAATATTGCTTGTTTTCGATATCCAAAATACTTACCTAAATTGCAGGTTGCAGTAATATCCGAACATAAAACTATTTTAAATAGTCTTCGGAGCCAATATGAATAGTATTATGAACTGACTACGCCATTGTTGTAGTAGGGTCTTTAGTTGAGTAAAATCTTTCAAGTAAAATTAGGATTGTTTCACTATAGGTTAAGATGAAAAATTCTTTCATTTTAGGTTTTGTTTGCTAGGAGTTTTGTAGACATGTAATGCGTAAGATCTTAATCAGTGTACTTCAATATATACAGGGGACAAACATAATCTACCATCACTAGTTTTCTATTAGTATTGATAATTATTACATATATGGTTTTCGACGGGTTTTCTTGCTTGTTATTGAACATCATATTTAAGAATCATTAAATTATTAAAATCTATTCTTATGAGGGAAGGTGAAATTCCGTTTTTCACTTAAAATGCTTTCAACATTCTCTGTACGAATATTAAACTTCTGGCTGACGTTTCTCCGAGCTTTCTAACCAGTAATTATTAGTGTGTAGTATTCTTTTCTTTTATCTTTGTTTCGATATAGAAATATGCATCAACAGTATAAAATATTGCATAACCTCGCTGAAAAGTTAGCTAATAGTTTTCGTGAAACTATTCATCATCAACGTGCATTTACGAGTCATATGACTACTTTAATTGTACAGCAGCCTGATTTAAGCAGTGAATTCACCTATAATACAGAAACTCAACGTATTGTTATATCAAATGGAGAAAAATTATTGGGTATGGATTATGTATACTTTTTGGCTTGATTTCACGTTTCATTTAATTTTTCTTTGAGATTTTCCTCATGAGCTTACTTCAGATAGAAAAACAGCTGATTTTCCCTGGTATAGGACACTTTAATGTCTTTGCACGATCTCTACAGATGTCAAACCCAAAATTTTTAGGTCTCACGATATGCCTATTACATTTGGATTAATAAGTTAAAATCCAATCTAAAGGTAAGGCGCTTTTGGGAGGGAGGATTGATCGCATTATTTCATTCTATGACTTGAATTAGGCAGTGAATAATTGGTTCGTGTACTCGACTTTCTAGCAGAGCAATTTTACGCCAGCCATTACAAGTGTGGTTCAAAGCTGACTATATAAATATCCACTTGGTAAACGAGATACACTTAATATTATTATTTTTTATATATTGTCTTGATTATTGAGGATCATAAAAATCAAACTGGTTATTACTAGTACACCAAAAGACATAGTATCTTAATGGCTCATAAAAAACTAATGGAACACTTCTGTTTTATTTAAGTAACTAGCACCAATCAAACTAGTGGTACAATAAATCAACTTATCTTAATGGTTATATATTTCCATTAGTATGGAAAGCATTTACTTCTTGGGTACCAACTAGACCAGTTTTTTAAGAGATTTTCAGAAGAAATGCAGGTTTTTATTTTCTTATAGTTGGAAAAGACGATTTTCAAGTATGAATGTTTAATTCGCGCTATTAAATGACTATAGTTTAAACTGATAAAATGTCCCTAAAATTAGTTAAAGGGGTTGAATAGATTTCTTTTTGGTGTAGTTTATGATAACTAGATTATTGTTCATCATAAATCAATGTTGCACTGTTAAGTTTGTTACTATTTAACTATTGTTGTTTGAAAGTTCTTTAATTCTAGCATCAAAGCTACAGAAAAGATTTTCGGATTATCTAATAGTAAGCTCTTGAAGTTACTATACTTTAGTCTAATCGTTTCTCAACTTTGTCTGACTCTATACTCCTATGTGACAAATTTGTTTTTTATCTATTTATTTAAACACAAACACCGGTACAAAGATTTGTAGTTCATGTGGATGATTTTGATGGAGTTTTGTCCTCTGAGCTGGATGGTTAGGTCGTGGAGTTTTCATCGTTCTTCTGAACATCATCAGCACAAACTTCAGATAGCCAATCAAGATCGAGGTTTACAGGACAAGCTGTGAGTCATATGTGGAGAAATTCGGACACTTCACTTCTATCTGGTTTGTGCTGATGATGTTGTTCAGAAGAACAACGAAAGCCCCACGATCACACCATCCAGCTCAGTGAACAAAACTCCACCAAAAACACTGGTACAAAAAGGCATCAAAATATATATGCGCCACACAATAGCAATGAGACTGAAGAGAAAGAAAAAGGAAGGTGATTATTATAAACGAGAAAGAAGTGAATAATTCTAATATAAGCGTGGAAAAGTAGTGGAAGGAGCATTTCATTAAGAAAATACGAACAAAAAGGATTCTTTCAGTGAAGGAAGTTATTCTTATATGAAGATAGTAAAAGAATGTTACAGCAGGACGTCCAATAACGTCTTAAGCAACAAGGTTGCTCTATCTCTGGGACCTCAACCGAGGGGTCGTAAAGGACCAAAAGGAGCCAGTCCTGCACAGCTCTCATACCACGAAACCATGTCATGCACTGACCACCTCTCCGCTTTTTCTAACAATTATCTGACCTACGACCTTTATTTATACATAAAACGAAGTACATAACCATGATAAATGTTACTATGTTTGCATTTCATTAATCGTTTGTAGAGTTGTTTTATACTATGAATGTGTACTTGCTGAATCTCTGCAAACCCACTCTGAATTAGTGCAAGCCTTATGATGTTAGGAGGACTTCCTTAACACTACACTAAGTTGATTAATTTATTCTAACATAATTAAGCACGCATATAAGTGGCTTCTGGTTTCATTTCTAACCTGTTTACCGTTTAATCAAAATAGTTTTCGTTATAATATCCGAATTGCTTCAGTCGATTGTAATTGATAAATCAGTGTCATTCTGAAGAAATGTAGTGTAGTAATCAATATTTATCTGACTGTCTCAATGGATTTGAAATTTAGCCAGATCACGGTTATGCAGTAAAATGCGATTATTGGCACAAGTAACTTCTAAGTAAACTGATATCAAAAGACACTGCGATTAGCTACCGTAGTGCGTTTTCTTGTTAATCAATGCAATAATGTATTTATGTCAGATGTTTATTGAACGTATCATTATACAATTATTTCAACTTTTCTTAATTCATGTATCCATCTGTCATTTGTGAGAAATTCGCTATCTTTACGACAGTCAATCCCTTTTATAAATTAAAAGAATGCAATAAAACCGAGTTAATCCTAAAAATGTATTGTACAAATATATCACATTTTTTCAAATCAGCGTCGTCTTCTCATCATCCTTTCAAAGTATACTATCCACTTGCGGTATTTAGTGTGATTTACTTATTAAGTTCCTCTCTATCTTCTTAAAATACAAAAATTCACTAATCTTTTTATTCATTTATGGTATTTATTTTGTTTCAATCCCTGTAGCATCATTAAACCATTTTGTTAATTCTTTGAACACACTGGTTAGTCATACATTTGAAGATACATGGACCACTGTTTCTAGTATGCAGTCGGCTCGTATACAATATGATGCTTATCGTAACGAAATGAACCAAACAAAAAGTAAAAAACCTAATGTTAATAATAATTCTGATACTGTCACACCTACTACGATTACAATGTCAGGGAACTCATTTGCCACTGACTTGATTCACGATAACCATAATTTACAATCACGATTAGATGCAGCTTGTGAACGGTATTCCCAATTGAGAAAAGCTGTTCTATGTAAATTGGAATTCTTACAAGAAAACAGGGTGAGTTTAATAAATCTAAAATCGTACATTTAACAGCAAAACTATGCACGCATAGTTTCCATTCGACAGTAATCTGTATTAGTGTAGAACTTTGGAAGTAATCAAGTTTTGTAAACTGTTACGGTTTTTTCGAAAGGTGCGAGGTGTGTCAGTACGTTACTAATACGACATTAAACCTATGGCGACTAGATAAATTGAACAACTGATGCACAGTAGGACTTCGACTATGACGCATCCAATCTTTTAAGGAACCAACTGAATCTCAACTCTTGAAGAGATTACTTGCCTCAACATCAATTTATTTCTAAGATAATCGCCCTATTATTAATAGACTAACTGGAATGTATAGGGTCCCGCTGTCATTATTTTACGTTTGAGTAATTTAGCTATTAATATTTTAGTAGTTTTCGTACGATGAAATATATCAGAGGACTGAACTCATTGAAAACATCATAATCCATTCTATTTTTAAAACATTAGGTGTGTCTATATCTCTCAATAGACACTTAACCTTTGCCTACTTAGGAGGACTGGCAAATACCACCTGGGTTTAATTATCAAGTCACTGATCCGCTAAGTGCTTTTAAAGGAACACTTTTGTTAACTAATTTAGAAGCATAAGCCTATGAAACAAACAGACAGTAATCCTTTTTAATAAAAACCATAACATCTATAATACTTAAGCATCTGTTCTGAGTGATTCACTATATTTCTTTGTGATGATGGTAAGGTATTCGGTGTCAAAGTCCCATAATTCTCTTCGGAGAAATTTTACAGGTTAGTTGTAAACTAATATTTTAATTATTTCATGCACGCAATACAGTGTTGCGCAAAACGTATTAAACTATGCATTTTGTAAACTTTTGTGTGACCCGGCTGTGAACCACGCTTCTCAATACGAAGGGTTATGACACATTCTACCTGTTCAAACTGAAACGAAGGTAAGGTATCAAACCTGCAAGCTAATTAGTAAACGATAACTAATTTAAGCAGTCTCCATTTTTAAATAGGTGTCATCAGTCATTTTCTATGTAATTTATCTACCACTAAGATTAATGATATTGGTTCGATATTCTCAATATCTACTTGTTTCATTTTCATATTTACACTTCGTTTGTTATTAGTTGCGTGTTATGCAACACCAACTAGTGCTCTTACAGAATGCAACATCAGCATTCTTCTCTGGAAATAATCAACAACTGGATCAAATTTTAAACCAGTATAAAATCAAATTGTCAAATACACAAAATGGGATTAGCCATTAATTAGTTTTCCTTTTCTATTTGTTACTGTTTCACTTGCATTTCCTTTATATAACATGAAATAAATACATATGATTAAGTTTTGCCTTGTGTGTGCTGTGCGCCCATTAAGTGACATACATTCATACAAATGAACTGGTAATGTTTCTTTCGACAGATCATTTTCAACCCACATATGTATTTACACACAAATGCAAAATTTGTGACTTAGGTGATACTAATTATGGACATTTACAGTGTTTTGAATTTCGAACTTATTAATTATTCTTACTGATTTTTAATTTGGTAATGTGTTATTCCGTTTGTATTTATTGTTTATGAAGTTGTTGCATATCTTCAAAAACCTATATTTACATTTAAGTAGTAAATGTTTGTGATTTTGTACAACTGCTAACTGGAAATGGCAGTCAGTAATTCTTATTTTCATGGCAGAGAATTTGAACCACATTTCCCAAGGGTTAATATAGTTACACAGGTGGTACTGAGCTCGAATCTTAGTTACCGTAACCGCTAAGTTACCTATTCGACTTATCCAGCAAACACAAATTTTAAGCATAAGGAGAGACATCGTCTAACATGGCGACCCCCTACACCAAACCAACGATGGACTCAAATAGACTATATTGCCATCAGTCATCGTTGGAGAGGGTCGGTAGAAGATTGTCGCTCATTCTGGAGTACCTGCTTGGACTCCGACCACGCCCTAATACGGGCACGCATATGCTTGCGCCTCACTGGACGCAAAAAGCCACATTAAAAAGACCCATTAGAATTGAGCTGAGTAATGAGAAAATCAAAAATAGGTTCCAGTAACAACTGAGTTCACAATTAGGTAGTTCTAAAGACGAGGCTGACCCAGATGTTGCTTGGAAAGACATACAAGCAGCTGTGAAAACAGCAGTGACATCTATTAACGACTTAAACCACAGAGTTACAAAGTGAGATTATATCGGAAAAAGACGAAACTCTCATCTGCTCCCAGTCCAGACGTTTAGAACGATGGGCGGAACATTTCAGAGAACAGTTCAACTGGCCTTTAGCTACTCTACAACTACCCTCCATTCCCAGACAGCGTGAATGGAACATTGAAGTAGGTCCCCCAAATCTTGCTGAAGTTCAAAAGGCTATAGTTAATCTGAAACGAGGGAGGGCAGCTGGTTCAGATGGATTGGCTCCAGAGGTCTTTAAGGATGGTGGTCCAATTTTAGCGATTAGGTTGACTAATATTTTAGCTAAAATCTGGGAGTTAGACGTTACTCCATCTGACTGGTCACAATCACTTATCGTTCCAATATATAAGAAAGGGTCAAAATCATCCTGTGACAACCACAGAGAGATTAGTTTAACTATTATAGTGTCTAAAATACTAGCCTCGATAATTATCAGACGCCTAACTGAGACTCGTGAACTGCAAACACGAGAAAACCAAGCTGGCTTCAGACCTGTTCGTGGCTGCATCGGCCACATATTCACCATTCGTCAGATTCTAGAACAGGCATACTTGTCTGCGTCCGACAATGGTGGTATTTCTCGACCTAATAGCAGCATTTGACTCTGTAGACCGCGAGATTCTGTGGCAGTGTCTGTCATTGAAAGGTGTACCCCAGAAGTACATAAACCTTGTAAAGGCTCTTTACTCGAACACTACTAGTAGATTCAGAGCTTATGGCGAACTTTTGCAACCTCAAGTGGTGTCCGTCAAGGCTGTCCACTTTCTCCAATTTTGTTTAACTTCATCATGGATCTACTGATGGAAATAACATTCTCGTAGACTGAGTTCTCGGGTATTGATCTCCATCCAGGAGATCCACCTATCGACTTAGAATACACAGATGACATAGTCCTATTTGGTGAAGACGTTGATAAAATGCAGTCTTCTGGTAGCACTAAGCAACAATGCCAGGATGTTTGGAATGCTCTTCTCTCCCTCTAAATGCAAGTTATTGCTTCAGGACTGGTCTGCGTCAACACCTGAACTAAGGATAGGGAGTGAAGTAGTCGGACGCGTTGACAACTTCACTTATCTTGGAAGTCTGATCAGCCCTAATGGGTTGGTGTCTGATGGAATTTCAGCACGGATTCGAAAAGCTCGTTTGGCTTTTGCCAACTTATGTCACCTGTGGCGGAGGCGAGATATCCGTCTATCAATAAAAGGACGAGTATACTGCGCGGCAGTCCGTTCTGTTCTACTTTACGGCAGCGAAACATGGCCATTAAGAGTAGAAGACACTCGTAAGCTATTAGTATTTGACCACAGATGCCTTAGAAATATTGCTGGCATCTGCTGGGATCACCGGGTAAGTAATAGTGAGGTTAGACGCAGGGTATTAGGGAATGATGGTAAATCAGTTGATGAGGTTATGAATCTTCATCGACTGAGATGGTTGGGTCACGTGTTACGTATGCCTGAACATTGACTACCACGACGTGCAATGCTGTCCGGTATTGGAGATGATTGGAAGAAAGTTAGGGGCGGCCAAACCAAAACGTGGCATCAGTGCTTGAAGACACTAACTTCTAGTCTGAGCCATGTTGGTAGATGCAGACTACTTGTTCGTGGTCCGCGTGACTGTCGTAACCAATGGTTGGAGACTCTTGGTGACATGGCTTAGAAGCGATCACAATGGCGTCGGTGTATACACTCCCTGTCTTCCCTTAAACTAAGAGATTAAAATCGCTTCATATCTTTCTTTCTAAGAACCAATTCTTTCTTCTTGTAGTATATCTCTATATGCAACCTTTCTCTTATATATTACCACCTTTGACCTAACCACTGCTACGAATCCGGTGTTCATCTCGTTGTGCTGATGCGGTATGGCAACCTGGACCGATGCACATATATGCCTGGTCCTACGTTGTAGCCGACTGACTGACGACTTATCCATCCACAATCAGATTGAAAAGAATGTGATAGCTGTGGATCCATACCAAGCGCATTGAAAACGATGAATTTAATCGTATCAGTGGTCTGTACAGTATAGTGTGCTTTTTAATATCTGTGTATACTCTTAGTCATGGGATATGTTCAAAATCCACTAAAGATCAAAGTGCACTAGACGGTCGTTCTGTCCCTGCACGTAGTCAAACTGAAGACATTGAGCAATATACGTCTGAGTCATCCGGGTCACCATTTCCAGCTTCAGTCGAGTTTTTATATTTGACGTAGATCTTCAAAACGGCAAACCACCAACTAAACAATCGTACGATCAGCAAAGACTGACTACACAATGTATTTTAGTAAACTTTAATGTTACGTAACCGGTGAAATGTAACCATTTTAGTGGTGAGACATTGTGCACGGATGAGAGTGAACAACAAGCATAGTATACCTATTTGGATTCTAACTGTTTGCATACTTCTAATTGATCATGCACACGTTGGTTCATAGTGACTCGGCTACCATATTTCCAAATGCACCACTAATATGGTGTATATAAGGATAAGACAACTTGGTGATTTATCGGGACCAGATTCACAGTACTAGTTTACTTAATATCATTCTCACAAAACAGCGCAACCAAATATGACCACCTAAAGACCAGAGCAATAAATGCACCACTAAATAAAATCCAGGTGCCTTAATACTGCCGAATATTGCGGTTTAATAGCTAAGAAAAAGTTCTAATGTTAAGTGAACATAGACGGGTGGTTTTCAGATGGATCGGTTTAGTCATACTCTTAACGCAACTAGATAGATCAAAATGAATATGAAATGCATATGTCCTTAAATCGAACCAACTTCAAGGTTAGTTTCTTTCTCAGTACCATAGAACGGCTGCTGGGTATCTTAGATCGAACTAAATTATCCAAGACGAAAAGTCCTGATTCCCTGTTTTACCAATCACAATCTGAGTTATAGACTAAACTTAAAACATAAGATGCATTCAGGATCCAAGATGCTTCTGAAAGAGTATATTTAATGGCAAAATACGTTTAGATAGGTGGTACTGAACGTCTGTTTCTTTTTGTTGAGATGATATCGATTGCATTTGGCTCAAATGTAAGAATGTGACGATGATGAACCGCTTGTCTAGTGTGATATATGTACAAGTAAATTGAGATCTTCAGTCTGTTTCCATGAGAAGAGCAATTAGTATCCTGATTCTTGTACAAAATTGCTATGTGCAGTAGCAGGTCATGAGTTGAGTACATTTTCAAAGACTTAAATTACAACGACGAACTAATTCACCATCAGATAAACATTTAAACCGTATTGGAAAGCTTGGTAAGGCTTATATGGAAACGGGTGTATAACTGACTATAACTAATTGAATTTAAAATTCATTGCCTACTGTGTTCCTTCATTTGCACAAAAAAGACACTTAACAAACATGGAGGGACAAGTAACCTAGTTGTGATTAATTAAATATTTGACACACTACTGATTTTGAAAAAAGATACATTCTTATTTGCTAAAATAGTGTTTTATGGTAAGGTAGAAAGGTGCTAATTAATTAAAAGACTTGGAAATCAGATATCGAAGAGAGGTTGTAATGATCGGCTAGTGAAAAAGTGAAATGATTGCCCACCTGATAGTTATTAAGAACAGAATAATTAAAAGGTTGTAGTAGTTACTAATTAGTTCTGAAAATAATTGGAAAGGAGTAGGAACAATGAAATAAAGAGAAAGACAGATCATAAAAGATAGATAGGGAGGTTAAAGGTGAGGGAGTGAACATATTGTTTTTGTAAGAAAAGGTTAGGCTTAAATTGGTGAATAACAATAGAATCTGCCGTACACAAGTTGTCCATCTCCATTTATATCGAGCCAACTTTTCCATGTATAATTCTGGAGAAGCGGAGCGACCGGGATAGACTAGATGCTCCAAGATCGAGCTTTTGACTGACTTCTGTAATCCTTTGCAAAGCCAGGTAGGGTGATGATGTTCGGAGATGCGTTTCGAAAGGGCTCGCTTTGTGCGACCAATATAGCCTGCTCCACAAGAACAAGTAAACTGATAAATGCACATTGATTTGGATCAAAGTGGGAGCTTGTCCTTCACATAACATCGGACCATAGACCGACTAGGAAAGATAATGCAGAGTTCAGTCGAATATAATGTTTTCCTCAGAGATCTTGCAAGCTTGTTTCTCAGAATTTCTGCCACAGTATCTATTTCAAACTGAATGTTAACGAAATCTCCTTTGGTGTTGTGGACACCACGTTGTTTTGGCTTAAGATTTTTCCCAATGAATTTAGATGTATATCTGTTGCTAGTTAGTGCCTATCGTAGTCAAGTTCGGCGTCGATTGTAATTTCTGTACAGATGCGTCTAGCCCTCGAACTGAGAGAATGGATCAGGTTTCTCTTTTGCTTCAGTGGGACCCAACTTTGATAATTCGTGTGCTGACCATTTGATGTTGGCTTTCTATGTATTGATCTCTGTAGAAGACCGCCAGGTCTCCTTTTTACCGAAGCATCTAAGAGGTAGGAATATGAATATGGCACTCATTCTACCGTGAACTTAGTTGATTGATAACAGTTATTGAACGAGTCCGGGATGTCAGTGACATTGATGTTTATGTCACAAGTAATGAAAATGTCGTCTTTTATAGAACGAAGCTATTAACTACCGGTCTAAGTATAATGTTTTTGAGATTAGCAATGAAACAGTCAACTAGAAAAGGGCCGAGTGGTGACCCCTTTGCAAAGCTATCAGTTTGTCTATAGAACTGATTTTTTAAATTTAAATTATACGTCGGGAGTGCATCGAAGAAGTAGTCCCTTCGAATATTGTATTGGAACACCGGTACATTTGTTCAGCTTCTCAAAATATTCTATCTTAGTGTATTAACTATTTGATAATTTTCTATACCGTTATTTCGAATCCCATAAATCGATTAAGTATATAGTCACACGAATCTATTGTGAAGCTAATTTTTTTGCTTAGAGCACTAACAAACAACGATAGCTTGACTAAAAAATCTAGCTCCTAACTTATTTTGGTTCACTTTGTAAATCTAGCTGAAGTTTACATTATACAACCCTTTATTTGTTGACTATACTGTAGTTATGCGTAGGCTTTCTTATTCTGTTCGTGCTGATATGACAATGCAATTTATTTCGAAATCATCCAAATGTTTAAATTTCTTTTGAAAATGTTTCCAGTACCTCCAACTAATTAGAAGGGAGTGCTTAAATGTTTTGGGAATCTGCTGAATAGACAAAATTAACAACGAACACTCTAAAAGGTAACGGACGCTAGACGTTAGGGAGACAAATATAAACCACTTGAGCACATAAATCAATTCCGAATTGGAATTCAGATGATATGCTCACTGTTCCCATAGTTTATTCTTTTTTTCTGAGTAATAACCTGGTTCAATAAAAGGAATAGTAATCCAATTCTTTAGTATCCAACAGTTTATATGAATCTCAAAACGCTTCATGCTGTGAACTTATTACTGAATTTTTTCTCAAGTCGGTTATTGATGATATTATTTACTCAGCATTTGTTCATTTTTACTGTAAGCGATACATTGTATCTTTGTGTTAGGATATTTTATTTTATTTATTTGAACACATAAATATTGGTACAAGAGAGCGCCAATATATATGTGTTAGGATAGTCGGAAAAATATACCAATAATTATCGTGTTAAGTCTATGGTGGCCTTGGACCTTAAATGTACATTTCTTATTGGTCGATGTTTATTTCACTTGTTAAATATTTTGTAAATGCTGTTTCCTATTTTATAGTACGATGTGGTTTGTTTGTTTGGTATATAAATAGAGTATGTCTGAAATACAATGATTCATAACTCAGAGGCTGTGACTTGTGTTCTTGACTCAACTGGCTAGGACAGACAGCGAAGAAGGGCCAATCAGGTCACTAGGACGTCCTTACGTGTTTACGTGCCACTGTCACAGAAGCGATCGATAAATACGCTGCTTATCATAACCTGCAGTCTCACCCGTTACAGCACTTTGCAAAGAGTTGACCATTATTTATGACACAAACTGTGCACCCACATTACTCTTAGAATATTCCCTGTGGGACTTATCTGCTGATGCATAGCTAAAACGAATAAGGTGAAAGTGAACCCTAGTGTTGTTTTTGCTCAATTACCAAGTCTGTATCTGTTTCAGCACAAAATCAACACGACTGTGATTCTTACTTTCAGCTTTTAACATTAGCTGTGATAGGACTAAATATGGACATGAGCAGAGATAACTGTTTTTGGAATGATTATAACTTATAGATTTAATCTTGACTGGAAGATTAGATTTTTCTTCAACTTGTATAATATCAAGCAAAGAGTAATAAAGAGGGGATAATGGAAGAACTTACAAATTGAATACTACCATTTGAATGATCATTCTGAAACTGTACTGAATAATCAATGTTTATAGTTGGCCTTTATATTTCTACCATAGTTCCGGATGTCTGCTAAAATAAATACATTTATGTACGCTTTAAAACAGAATGATACACTTTGAAACTGAGCAAAGTCTGGAATGAAACTGAAAAAAAACTATCTCAATTGAGTTCGCGCTTAAGCTGTATAGATTATCAAGTTTCCTGATACTTTTCCATTTATTTTATTCCATACGTTGGATCTCTTTAAAACCTACTGACGGAAAATTAGCTCACAATTGAAAACACTGTCGAATATATTCAGATTATAAAGAACGTTAGAATTCGATGTTTTTTACAGAGCAGTGTCTACAAGGCGTTCGCAGATAAGGTTTAATATTTCACTTAGTGATAAGAAAGGATGATTGCTATCAACGAAGGTTGTTACACAGGTTTAACGCTAAACAACTGAAATTCATCGTCGTAAGTGTTAATTAGAATTGAATGGGGTATAGAAAAATAAAAGAGTAGAAACAGCAACTGGAATACTGAGCATTTACAAAGCCAAAATGAAATACACTAAAGGTATCAGACATTACTTGCATTCCAAATAGTCTTTTTTCACTCTATCAAGTTTCTCTTTAGTTTCTGCGTCAATATTTATTTCTCTAAGACTGGATTTTGCACAACGCTCATCACGTTCACTTTCCTCACAAATGAGTTGATCTACTACTTGTTCGATGCAAAATAATAATTCCTTGTTTGTAACTGCTTCATCAGTTTTAGGACATTGTGTTTGTTCTTCGGCTTTTGCTATATAATTGTGTAACTCACGCAAAATAAAATAAACTCCATTGGACCGAAGAAATGTTCGTCCGTGACTGGTGGAGCAGAACTAAAGTGACACTTAAAGAGTAAGTAAAAAAGATTACCTGCAAAAATGTTTGGCAAATAGTAAGATACAACTCAGTGGAAAACAAACGAGAAAATTGGGAGCTCCCAGTTATAGTCTGAACAGATTTAGGCAATATAGCACGGTCTTCTTTGTCGATACAATCTTCTGGACCGCAAAGTGGAACTAAAAGTGCATCGAGCAAACCAACGCCCCTGTTGAAAAGTTCACTATGAAGCTCTGGAAAGCCATATTTGAAAATAAGTTAAAATATTACGGATTACCATCTTCAAATGAGCAGTTTTTTATTATGCCAGCTATTAGAATTTTGATAGGGACGGAACACATATTTGAAAATAAAACGATCAGCTTTCGTAATAGTTCTGATGAGCATATGGAGTGGCGTACTGATGTTAACCTACTTAGGTTAAGTACTATCTTCAATAACCAAACCCAATTAGTAAAATTAACTTACTGGGAGAAACTTCTGGATAGAAGAACCTGAGCTGAGGATCGATCTAATATGTTTGTTATCAAAATGTTCACCGAAATGACCCAACCAAACAGGATCTCTAGTCAAATTTGAAATCAAGTCAATAATTAGAGACGCTAGATCAGCATGACTTCTAGAATTATCCAAAGAGAGGGTAGTCAGGATCCGAGTGAACTCTTCACGCTTTTCTTGAGTTGACAGCACAGTCGATAAAAGACGTGTTCCTTGAACAGCTGAACAGATGTTAATTAAGCATTTGACAGATAATATGAATTCTTCTGTGAGTGCTAAAAGAGAGAAATTATAATGATGAACTGGAGAATACACATTACAAGACAGAAAACACTCGACATACGAAATGATAGGAAATTATAGGAAAATGGAAATTGAGATGTGATATATATACATCAACATATGAAAAGTGCAGTACGAAAATTTCGGACTAAATTAGATAGAGGATGTAGTGAGCTTACATAGACTAGAGAAAAGTCGGTTAATATTAAGATACCTAAGCAACCTTAGTTATCATCGATATCTTTATATTCCGATGATACCAAGAAATAAAGTGGTACAAAAAGTAGAGGGTAGCGAGGAGGTTCACGAGAAGTTCTAGTAAACTAGTTAAGCAGTAGGCAACCATTAGACAATGTGCCCCCGAATGCCCTGGTACGGCCGAGTGTGGGGAGAGTCCGCTCTCCCTCTCAGAATACTCTCACGCGGCCACGCGTTTACAGCTTCTGCCAGGGAAGTCCTACTCATTGCCTTCTCGTGGCGGGGGTGTCGCTTACGAAAATGAGAGGACGAAAAGCGAATGTCTGGCGCTTTAACCGGATTCCAAACCAATGGTGCACATGGGCTCCAGTATCCTGCGGGAACAAATGGCGTATGAACCAATCGTTGGTCAGCGGCTACCATGGGACTGCATCTCCTTACGATGCTCCACTGCCTCGTGGGTCAGACCTTTAGGTCAAAGGCTCGGGGTGTGGCCCCCTAAGATAACCACCTGATTCGGTTTGGGCACCCGGGCAGTATCACAGCCCACACGCAAATGATGAACTCTCTATATCTATGGAAACTACTTTTATCGCTTCGAAAAACAATCAAATGATTCAAATTATTATCATTACTATTATTGTCATTATTAATACTATTATTATTATTATTTTCCACATTATTCACTTTCTTTTATACTTATACAGCGGCTCGTCTTTGGTGAAAATTCGACTGTATCTAAACGTTCTCGAGTCACTGTCCGGTTGAACATTGTATGTTAGTAGTCAGCCAGCCAGTCAGTCAGTAACAACGTAGAACTTTGTAACTACGTACATCGGTCCGAGTTGCCACACCACATTAACACAGAGATGTAGTGGTCGATTCAAATCCCGTAGTGCTAGATGTAGTAAAATTATAAGCTGTAATCGGAAAAATTAGGGTTTAAAGATGTTATTCAAGGAGTATAATCCAGTGAAATAAATTTGGAAAGAGAAAAAAGAAAGGGAGATGAAGAATTCAGAAGATTAGAATTTGAGAGAACACAAAGAGTGGATGCACCTGCACTCACCACTGCAAACGATTTTGAGTCATGTCATTCAGGGTCTCTAACCATCGGTTGCTATCATCTCGCAGTCCCCAACCAGGTAGTCTACACCTACCAACATGGCTCAGTCCACCTATCAGTGACTTCATGGACTTGTGCCATGTTTTGGTCTGGCCGCCACTAGCTTTCTTCCAACCCACTCTTATACCACTGAACATTGCATGTCGAGGCAGTCGGTCGTTGGGCATACGTAACACGTTTCCCAGCCATCTAAATTAATGAAGTTTCACTACGTCATCAATTGATTTGCCATCCTTACCTAGTACCCGTTTCCTAACAACTGCATTACTTACTCGATGGTCCCAGGATATACGAGCAATACTTCGAAGACACCTATGATCAAATACTAGTAACCTAAGGATATCCTCTACTCTTACCATCGAATATGAGTACTGAAGCAGTTTTTCTGAAACCACGTGCACCATTCAAACTGGCTGCCTTCAACGTTCGCACACTTATGCAGGTCGGACAACAGATAGGGCTGACTATGTCTTTGGAAAGCCTTAATATCGATGTCTGCTGTCTATCCGAGACCCGTATTCAAGACTCTGGTGAAGTACTACAAATTCGCTCTCCATCTGTCACTTCAAAAAGCTTGTTTTACATGCACTTATCCGGGAACCCTGTGGCATCTTCGTCTGGTCTTGCTGGCGTTGGTGTCGCACTAAGCGCTAGAGCTGAGGCAGCACTAATCGATTGGATCCCCATTAACAGTCGGTTATGCGCTGTTAGATTAGAAAATTCCATCAAATAGAGAAGAAATCGGCGTGAGAAACGATGTCTTTTCGTCATCGCCTATGCCTCGACAGATTGCAGCCCGGATGCAATCAAGGATGAGTTTTACCACCAGTTATCTGTTCTTCTCCAGAAAGTGCGCTCGACAGATATTGTAGTACTAGCTGGAGACTTGAATGCTCAGGTCGGGCGTCTAGGCGCAGAAGAGAGTCGTTTAGATGGCTGATGGGGACTCGTTGGTCGCAGGTCAGATAACGGGGACCGTCTACTACAACTTTGCACAGACCACAACCTGTTTCTGGCTAGCACTAACTTTTGGCACAGTCATCGCCGATGTGCCACCTGGCGTCCTCCCTCTGCATCCCGAGCCTGGACTCAGATTGATCACATCGCGATCAGCTACCGCTGGCGTGGTTGTGTACAAGACTGCCGCTCCTTTTGGAGTACCTATCTGAACTCTGATCATGCCTTGGTCTGTGCCAATCTTGCCTTACTTTTCAGTGGCCAACGAAGTGACCGCCACCAAAGGATTGATGTTAGCAAGCTGGTTGCAACTTCTGTTGCAAGTAAGTATCGAACCGAGCTAGTTTTTAGGCTAGCTATCATTCCACCGAAAAGTATAGATGAAAATTGGTTGCAATTGCATGTTGCCATGAAAATGGCGGGTACAGTCAGTTGTGGGTTTGCGAAACGTCCCGCTTATAAGCACTGGGTTCTGCAGGTTCCTTACAACTCATTGAAGCCCGTCGGTCTACTACGGATGACCGTGAGTTTGATCATAAACGAAGGATGTTACGTAAGGAAATTGGGCAAAGCTTGCGTAAGGACCGAGAAGCCTGGTGGTCGAAGCGTGCTAATGAGCTGGAAGCAGCAGCTGCATCTGGTAACTACCGGAAGCTCTTCCAACTCATCCGAGCCACTGGCAGCAAGAAGTCTGGTGTGAGTGAAACAATCCGCGAGGATGATGGGACGCCAATCACTAACATCCATCGACGTCTTGGACGATGGGCAGAATTTTTTGAAGGGCAGTTCAACTGGCCTGCTGCTCCGGCAACATCGGTCAGACTGTCCTGCCTCCCATGGCAGAAGACGACTGATCCACCAAACAAGGAGGAAGTCCGCAAGGAACTCCAACTCTTGAAGCGTTACAAATCACCTGGCCCAGATGACTTACCTCCGGCTCTTTTTAAAGATGGTGGTGACTTTTTGACTAAGGAATCGACGACGTTGTTTACGAAGGTTTGGGAACTAGAGAGTGTACCAACGTCATGGAATGAGTCGATAGTTGTCCCTATCTTTAAAAAGGGTTCACGTCGTTCCTGTAACAACTATCGGGGGATAAGTCTACTTCCGATCGCGTCCAAGCTATCGGCTTCCGTCATACTTCGTAGGTTGTTCAAAACCCGAGAAAGATTGACTCGCGAGAAGCAGGCTGGGTTTCGTTCTGGTCGAGGATGTATTGATCATATATTCACCCTCCGCCAAATGTTAGAACACCGACATACTTATCAAAGGCCAACAATCGTAGTGTTTCTTGACATCAGGGCTGCCTTCGATTTGTTGGACAGGACTGTTCTCTGGGATTGTCTATTGAAGAAGGGTGTGCGTGAGAAGTTTATTAGCATCCTAAGAGCCCTATATAAAAACACCTCAGGCAGAGTGAGGGCATACAACCACCTCTCTCAATTGTTCCATTCAAGCAGTGTTGCCCAATCTCACCATTCCTCTTCAACTTTGCCATCGATGACATTCTGGAAACAGCTCTGATGGATGTAAGTGATGGCGGTGTGGATCTGCTGCCTGGAGAAAGAATTCTCGACCTTGAGTATGCGAATGATATTGTCTCACTGTGCGACAATGTCCAAGTCATGCAATCCACACTTAATCAGTTAGCAATCAATGTCCGTAGGTATGGTATGTGCTTTGCACCTTCCAAGTGCAAAGTACTTCTAAAGACTGACAGGATTCTAATCCTGTACTCACCCTGGATGGTGAGCAGATACAAGTAGTCGAGAAGTTCGTGTATCTGGGTAGCCGCATAAGTGCTGGTGGTCGCGTGAGTGATGAGATCAGTGCACGTATAGTGAAAGCCAGAGCGGCTTATGCCAATCTGGGCCAACTTTGGTGCCTTCGTGATGTTGGTCTGGCTGCAAAAGGTCGGATCTACAATGCGTCGATGAGAGCAGTTTTGCTCTATGCCTGTGAAACCTGGCCTCTTCGAGTTGAGGACGTTAGACGACTCTCTGTGTTCGATCATAGCTGTCTCAGAAGGATTGCTGACATTCAGTGGCAACACCATGTCAGTAATGCAGAGGTTCGGCATCGTGTGTTCGGGCACAGAGATCATAATTCAATTGGTGTCACCATCTTGAAACACCGACTTTGGTGGCTTGGATATGTCCTACGAATGTCGTCCCACAGAATTACACGTCGTGCATTGTTTGCCATCGCTGGGACTGGTTGGAAAAAGCGGAGAGGTGGTCAGTGTATGACATGGTGTCGTGGTATGAAAGAAAGCTGCAAAGGACTGGCTTCTGTTGGTCCTTAACCACTCCCTGGTTGGAGTCCGATAGATGGTGCAACACAGTGGCTAGAGACGTTATCAGATATGGTTCAGAATAGAAGCAAGTGGCGATCCTGCTGTAACCTTTTACTTTCTTCATAAAAAGTGGTTGTATCTTCCTTAACTGAAAGATTTCTTTTGGTTGTACCTTTTCGTTACCCCCATTATCATTATTATTATTACTATTACACTACCTTACACTAACCTGGTCGTTATTGTTCTTTCTTCTTCTCCCTTCCCATTTTCATTGTTTTGTGTGGCGCATATATATTTGGTGCCCTCTTGTACCAATATTTATGTGTTCAAATAAATAAATAAGGCACAAATCCACACCCAATGATGATACTGAGTTTTTATTGATCCAGACACACACTGACTTTACAGGCAGAAGCTAGTCAACATTTGAAAGGACTGAATACTGCAGTGCGATAGCCGCTGAAAGCTTAAGCGGTGTATCG